TTAATCGAATTAACTGAAATTCTATATATATAGATTCTTTGATTAATTATTGTTTATGCTTATACTTTTTAAATTCGTGCTTTTATATTTGCAGTGTTGTTATTTAATTATTTTTGTATAGATATATTATTATAGGTATTGATATAAGGGGTAATGTTAATTTTTATTTATAATTTTAAGGATTTAAAAATTTAGCTTAAAGAACTTCGGTTATTATTAATTGAAAAGAACTTTAGTTCGATTAATTCGGTAATAAAAAGTTCGGTTAACTGAATGCACACCCCTAAGGGCAAATGCTAGAGTATTTGTACAAAGTATTTAACAATTATTCCAGACTATCTTCAGGAGAATCCAATCACCTTTGATTTTTTTTTTTCCCCCCTTTTTTTTTCAATCCGGGGGGGTGGGGGGTGGGGGGGGATGGAAAATAATGTTCTAAACAAAATTTCGTCATAAATATCTAATTGAAGATACGGCAAAGCAATAATGCGGTGATCGTGGATCGAACACGAGACCTTCAGATCTTCAGTCTCACGCTCTCCCAACTGAGCTATCCCCGCAATTTGAAGGCTTGGCGCAGTGTAATTTCTTGAAGTCTTACAAGGCAAAGTAGGGAGACATGCTATTAATTACTCACTCAACGATCACTTGCTGCACGTTCTGCAAATATTGGCCAAAAATCAATTTTATATTAAGCTCATCACCAAATATTGCCAATTCTGTCATACATCCATTGAATATTTAGGCCATTGCATATTGTAGAAAAAGGTGGTGTAATTTTTTTCTTCCTTATTTTTGATTCAATTGTTCAAAAGTAGGCCGGGGATGATAAATAATGAGATTATGTGTACATATGATTACTTAAAGCATTTGAGTTCAATATTAGGATAGCAAAAGTAGGCAAACAAACATTGTAATGGACATTAAATCTAATAATAGGGTATAAAAGTTTTCAACCAAACACCACCTAGAATTTTTTCAAATCTCAAAAGTAGAACGAAAGAATGAAATTTTTTAAGGTAGATTCTAATTGTTTTGCTAATTGAAAAAAGACAAAATTTTCATCCATGAATAAAAATACTTGTGATTGGCAAGACCAGGAGCGGATCCATAAGAGGGCCGGGGGTAATGAGGGCAATTGCCTCCTCACCCCTCCCCACCCCGTTATACAAACACACACACATAACTTATATAAAAACGAATTGAATGTATACACAAGTTATTAAATGTTTAGGTAAGTTAACTTGACTGTTTCTTAAAATTTGATACCATATATCATGAGAATCAAACCCCACCAGCAATACTTTCCTTTATTTATATACTCCTGGATCTGCCCTAGGCAAGACCGTCCACAAACATTGAGAATGTTTGGTTAAATGATGCTTCATGCTTGGACTTCTTATGCATATCAGAATTGTAATATACTCCGTAATTAACTAAAAACAATTGGTCTCAATTGGTATTTCATTAAAGTTCTGCTACATACACTCCCAAATTATACCCTTAAATTTTACTTTTTGATGTGTCAGACATTGATTGGCTACATGTAGTATTTTCCATTTCGTTATATTGATTGCCTAATAGGCTACTTTGACAGAGTCTGCATGCATGCATGCAACATTACTTGAAAAAGGAAAATAATAAATTTATCCAACAAAATGCGGTGATCGTGGATCGAACACGAGACCTTCAGATCTTCAGTCTGACGCTCTCCCAACTGAGCTATCCCCGCCCTTTGAGATTCTGACGGTCTACACTTCATATATACAAACAAATAATATTGGTATTATTTATACTTGTCATTTAAATAATAAATTAGTATTATATTCCTTACATAATAAATAGTAATTTATCATTTAAATGACAATTATAAATAATACTAGTTATATTTAGTTAAAAATTATGTAAGGGAAACTAAAATATTATTTTTAAAATTTAGGGTTTAAGAATTTTATTTTGGAAATATTTTTTCCATTTTGGAGTTCTCTTCCAAATTAATGTTAACATTAAATAAAGTAATTACAAGGTTAACAAATTGATATTTTAGTAGAACGGTTAGAATTTTAAATTATTGTGTAAGTGTCCGCAAGTGTTGTCCGAAGGTACGTGAACCGGTCTAACTCACATGAAAAATAATTGAACTTAAAACCTTGTGATTAGCAAGTCAAATGTCCAACTAACTTGACTGGAATTGTTCCCGGTGTGACAAAGTACTGATATAGTAAAAGGTACCCTAATTTGGGAAATACGGAGTAAGTTTAAAACTACCATTTGGAAAATATAATAAATTGTGTAGACAACGGTCCAAAACGACGTTGTTGAATTTTATGAGTTAGAATAATGTACATTATGTGTTAGAATAATGTACTTTATATATTAGAATAATGAAACTTATGAGTAAGATAATGTACATTATGAGTTAGAATAATGTACATTATGAGTTATAAAAATGTATATATATTGCAGTACGTGGGTCGCACGAAAAAATAAAAATTACACAAAACAACGTCGTTTTTGGACCGTAGCGCACACATTGTGTGAACCACAGTCCACACAATAACTATTGCAAATTCATCTACTATTCATAATTAAATTATTTCAAATCCTACGATATATAATTATCACAGTTCTCTTATTCGTAAAGATAGTTGTAACTTGTAAGTTGTAACAAGTGTTATTTTCCAATTTCCATACTAGATTATTATATAATGTTCAGTTGTTCACGACCAAATGTAACTACTTGTGACCGTTATTATATAATGTCCACTTCTTTTATTTTCATTAGTAATTTGTAAATGGCAGGAGTTAATTCTTGGAATGGTTCTTGACTATTGATTTTTACCAATTTTTATTATTATTGATTTTTAATTTGATCATATTTTTTCTTGATTATCAATTTTGTTTCAAATTTGATCCTTCATATAAATATTTGTTTATAGTTATTAAATTTAACGGTACGAATGTAAAAATTGACTTGTTCTTTACATTCTCACTAACTCCTATTTAACAAATATTTAAATGGATGACCAAATTTGAAGGCCCACACGTACTGGAAGGGCAAATTATGTTGCGGATTTGTATCCACTATGCATTGTGGACACGAGTCCAAAACGACGTCGTTTTCAAGGAAAACAAAGGCATTCCAATTTAAAAAAAAAAAATTGATTTTGTCTCGCCGTTAAGGCGTTAACGGCGTTATTCGTTTGTGGAATTATGAATGTACAGTTATGGAATTATGAGCACGGAGCTCTGACATTATGAACTTACAATTATGAACATATAGTGATAAAATTATGAACATAGAGCTTCGAAAATTATGAATGTACAGTTATTGAATTATGAATCTACAGTTACGGAATTATGAATGTACATGTATGGAATTATGAATGTACAATTATGGAATTATGAACACAGAGCTCTAACATTATGAACTTACAATTATGAACATAAGTGATAAAATTATGAACATAGAGCTCTAAATGTGAACATAGAGCTTCGAAAATTATGAATTTACAGTTATTGAATTATGAATGTACAATTACGGAATTATGAATGTACAGTTATGGAATTATGAATGTACAATTATGGAATTATGAGCACAGAACTCTAACATTATGAACTTACAATTATAACATATAGTAATAAAATTATGAACATATGCTCCTATAACGAAGAGGCCTGAAATTAATAAAAAAAAAAAATGGTGCGTGGAAAATAACGGTGCCACTTACGGCACCGTTTCGTGTCCATAATGTATGCTGGACACGGGTCCATAGCATAACGATTGTACTGGAAGCCTCTATATTTCGATCCCACCAAATTTATAGAGATAATAAATAATCACGATGACTCAGTGGTCGGTATGCCTTCAATTTTCTAGTTTAGTAGGATTTCCATAATCAAATCCAACGCTAAGGCTGTCCGATTTTAGGCCGAATGACCTCAGCTCGCCCCGGCCACAAGTACCCAACTGATCTAATTTTTTCAACACTAATAGCAATGAAGTTCTTGGTAATTAGCAAAGGGGAAGGTTCCCCTATAGCTACCTTGTTAATTACCACTATATTATATATTTTAGGACAATTGATTCTCGATAATAATAATGCAACTCTTATTGTTGTTTTTTTTTTTTTTTTTTTTTTTTTTTTTTTTCTTTTTAACGAGCTCGATTTATATTAGAAAGTGATCTTTTGAAGATAAATGTAGCATTACTTGAATAATTGTGTTAGGTTCAAGTTCAGAGTCTCTGCTTACAAACATACATTAAATTAGAGTTGAAAAATAACCACGCTCAAATATTGAAACACAACAATTTCCAATTATAAACAATGAAGAAATTACATCTTTATACCAATATAGCCAGGAGATTTTGGCTCTCATTCTCCCGCCCAACAACTAAGGATTTTCCATATCTTTTAACCTTTTTATTTTTTTTATAGCTATTTTAGATAGTATGAGTGTTTTTGTTGGTTTTGGAATCCTATTTTAGAGGATAATAATTCATTTGATTGGTTTTAGGGATGAAATTCGTTTCCCGATTAATGTCTTAGAGGAAACGTGTTATTGTAACTATTTTTTACCTACTTTTTTATAGCTATTTTAGTGGGCATGAGTGTTTTTGTTGGTTTGGGAATCCTATTTTATAGGATAATAATTCAAAAGATTGGTTTTGGGGAAGAGTTTCTTTTCCCGATTCCTGTCCTAGAGGAAACGTATTATATTTGAATTAGAAATCTAGGTTTTATCTACTAAGCTAATCCTCTAATCTTCTAATTTTTCTCTTTCTATAAGTATTCTGCTGCTGCGACTCTGCATTATCTCCCTCAGCCGGCTACCAGGTCTTGGAACTATCAGCTCTTCTTCTTTTTTCACTCAGCTGTGATGATTACTTACACAGCATCAGTGATGGCTTTCAGTATAAATACACCTGTTTATACAAGCAATTGCACATTGCAAACTTTCAATATTAGTCTATTCGAATCACAAGCTCTTCTTCTTTGATGGCTGGTCAGTTTGTTCTTGCTTCTCAGCTCACTCCATTGTGCAATAGGAAGGCCATTCGAGTTAGGCTGGTGCGAACATATGCTGTTTACGAAAACAGAGAAAACAAGGCGATTAGCAGTCTGGAATGTGTTTTCCATGATGTAGAGGTGTAGTATTTTCGATTTTATTAACTTAAAATTTTTTTTTATTTGCTTATGATCACTATTTTCCAGTTTAATACCTTTGAATGTGTTCATTTAGGGTGTGTTTGTTCACTGTACTATACCTAAGGATCAAGTCCAAAAATGGACCAAATTCAAGGAAGGTTGTGTTTATGGGATAAAGAACTTCCTTTGCATTACTAACTACTTGAAGTTCAAGACAAGTAATCATCGTTTCATGCTTAAATTTAAGCATGATACTATGGTTAAGGAGTACAAGAAAGTTAGTTTTCCTCACAAGACTTTTCGTTTAAAATCGATATCTTCCTTGGTTAGGAAGGATGATATTGATGAGAAGATGCTCATAGGTATATTCTTATCTTTAAATACAGGTTTTTCTACTTTTAAAACTATCCTTACTTAATACCTAACTGTTTGTATTTGTTTTTCTAGATGTTATTGGAAGGGTCACTGAAATCTATTCTCCAGTGGAGAGGGTTGTAGCAGGACAGAGAGCTAGGCTTATTGATTTTGTTTTGGAAGATATCAAGTGAGTGTACATGTTTATATTACATTTCTGTGAGCCTAAAAATTTTTATATGACTATTCTTTTTTAAATGGAAATTTCTTTTATTTCTTTTAGTCAAGATCAGATTCAATGTACTCTTTGGGGGGATCATGTGAACAGTTTGCTGCCTATTTATAGCTCAACAGTCACTGAAGAACCAGTGATTGTTTTGCTACAGTTCTGTAGGGCAAAGATCTTTGATAGTATGTGTTCTTTTATTCTTCTACTCCATTGCTCAAGTTTTATTAATTTATTCTTTTATCTTTTATTGGCATTATCCTGAAATTGAATATTCTTAATTTCTAGATGGAGATGTGCACATATCAACTTCATTTAATGCAACAAAAATTTGGATCAATCAAAAAATGCCAGATTTTGAGGAGTTTAAGAAAAGTTTAAGGTATAAATCATACATTCTGTTTCTATATTAAAATTCATCAGATTTTAATTGAATCTATTTACTTTTATTGTTTCTATTCCAGTCTGTCATCTAACAGAACTCCATTAAGAAAGTTGGACTCAAGCTCTAGGCTACCTGGATTTAGACCAAATCGTAACAGTCTAAGTGATGATATTGTAGTAACTTCTCTAAGTGAGATTTACAACAGGAAAGAGGTAATAAATTATTTTTTCTCTTTTATATATATATATATATATATATATATAAAACCAGATTGCTAGCTAACTTCTTTTTTTGGTATTACACAGCTATGTGAGTATTGGGTGGCTGTTAGGATTATGGATGTTGACAGTTCAGATGGTTGGTATTACATGTCTTGTAAGGGAACTAACTGTGGGAAAAAGCTAACTCCAAGAGAAGGTTTGATGTACTGCTCTAAGTGTCACCGTAGCTGGCATGATGGGGCTGTCAAGTATAAGGTGGTTGTTCGTGTAACCGACAGTACATGTGAAGCACCTATGCTCATTTGGGATAAGGAATGTTATGATTTGGTTGGTGTTTCAGCTTCATCCCTAAGAGAGAAGTATGCTGAGGTGAGAATGGTTTTTGTATTCTAATTTGGGATTGTTAATGCTAGAGATGTTCCTATGTTTATTTCCTTAAAATTTTTTTTTTTCCAGAATGCAAAAGGTTGGATCCCACCTGAGTTGCAGTCTATTTGTGGGATGCCTATACTATTTAGGATTTCTATGAAGAAAGATCAAGTGGACAGTCTCAGCTCTGCATTTGGTGTGTTAGGGTTCTGTAGACAAGCTGACATTGTTTCAAAACACTGTGGGGTTATAGACTGTGATTTGGATGCAACAGAACAAGCTAATGAGGTTTAATTATTTTCCTATTTAAACCTTTTTCTCTCTTTATAAAATTGAATAACACTTTTTGTATTATTCAATTTTTTTCAGGATACATTTGGTCTGGATGACTTTGGTGATTTTGAAATGGTTGGATTTGATGAAGGTGGTTCTTCTGGAAATGTTGCAAGCACACTTAAGAGGTCTCTAATTGATGAGTTCAATCAGTTTGATGACTCAAAGAGACTTAAGACTTCGGTTATTAAGTTGGAAAAAATGTGATGGAATTGCGGTTTCTATTATATTGAGCACACTGAAGAGGTCTCTAATGGATGATGTCCACCTGCCTTTCTACTATAATAGACCTACTATTTAAGTCTATAAGTTGGTTAAAATGTAATGCTTTTGTGGTTTCTAGGCTATGTTTTGTAATGTTTCCCTAATTCGGTCAGTCTATGTACTACTTTCCAATTCTGTCTTATGTTTTTGGACTCTAATGACAATATGAATATTATGTCTACTTATTTTGGTTTGTATTTTTTTCCTCAAGTTTATTTCACTTATATTTCCAGTTTAAATAGTACTAGGTAATTAGCTGGTTTTAGTTGTACATAACTTTTCATTTAATTATGCTTTATGAATTATATCTTCATTTGATAACTCTATCTGGAATTAGATAATTAAATACATATTAATGAAGTTATAACATCATAAGTAAATGTAAAATCTTTTCTATTATTTGAAAATAAACTTACTTATTCAGCCTTGCTTGATATTTGATGCCAACTCTTTTGTTATACTCAGATCCAGATCCAGATCCAAGTCTCTTTGTATCTGAAAACAACTGCAAATATAATCTATCAATATCTGACTACTTATTTAAAAAAGGTTGTCTATGTGTGTTCTAAAATACAACTTATGAAGTAAAAATAGAAGCATTAATAAGTTAAGTTGGCATGATCAAATAAAATTACAATACAGTACTGAATTTACTCAATTAGTAAATAGATTTCAGTCACAAAATGGCAAAAGGTTACAGATCTAAGCTGGAGTGATTTCAGTCACACTAATGACCATTAGTTACAAATCTAAGCTGGAGTCATGATTTCCTAACTTAGTGTTTTATCAATAGTATCTGTGGAACATTTAATCCAATTTATTTAACTAAAGTTAGTACATGTGTTATACATTCAAAGTCAATAGTTTATCTAAAAACAGTTTTTAGCTATAAGTATACAGAAAAAAAAAATAAAATTGGTGTGAAAGAATAGTATTAGTTCAGAATCATAGTATGCAAGGATTTAATTACGGATTTACAATTGAAGCCTAATAGCTTGACAACAATTATTATACAAAATCATGGAAATTTGCATTTGATTAAGGCACTTTTATTTGTTGAAATCAAAGTGCCTATACCTAATGCAAATTTAAATACTTGCATTATTTAAGATATTATGACAGTATTTAGGTAGGGATTTATAGTTGAGACCAAATAGTTTGACAACAGTTTATATATCATTTTTAGGCTCATTTGCCTAATAGAAAAAAATAAAAATTTGATCACTGTCAAATTCCAAATCAAAATGAAATTCAAATCTAACAAACTTTGTATATGTACTAAAAATCAATGAGTTTATAAATGAACAAATGTATAATGTATGGCATATGTCAAGAGTTTGATAATGAATTTGTAAACTCATTTAAAAATGTGATATTACTCAATCTGTAACCTCAATTAAAAATGATAAATGAAAGGAAATCATGTATAAAGATCAATTCAAAATTTGATCTTAAAAACTGATAACAAATTAAACAATATTGGGAAAATAAAATCAATACACTGTTACATTCCCAATAAAAAAGAAATTCAAATCTAACAAAAGGCTATAAAATAGTAATCATTTACAAGTATTCATGAGAGTTGTGCTAGGGTAATCAAATGCTATTGCCACTATAAATAAAGATCCAACACTTGGAAGATCAATTCAAACTGCAGGTTCTCTGTAACTGTATATGCAAAGCATAAGCTTAAACAAACATGAGAAAGTTAGAAAAATCTACTACGATTGGTTGCAAGAGAAAGTATGGAATTTCAAACAAAGGTATGAAAACATTTTATATTACACTACAGTTTATAAATACAAGTTTCATATATATACTTAAAATCACATCAATTAATGCCTAAACAAGTAAATGAATTAATAAATATATAGCTAAAGAAAAAAAAAATGTACAAGAACTGTAATATTGGCAAATTATACTTATCTTTGATGATGTGTAGTTTTCCTTCTGTTTTGAAGAGTACTGCTAACTTGGTTTTCTTCACCCGCATTATTTTCTCCTTCTCAGGTTTAGTTTTGTTTATCTACAATAAATTAGGTAGGGTTCATATCATTAATATATAAGAAACGAATCAACACTTAGTCAAAGATTTTTGTACAAATAATTTATATAACAGAAAAAAAAAAAAAAAAATATATATATATATATATATATATATATATATATATATATATATATATATATATATATATATATATATATATATGAGAAGTATAAAAAATTAAAGCAAACTTATCTTTTTCGTATATATTTTCTGCATATAATTTGATGGTATTTTTTAGGCTTCTTTGTTGTTGATTAATGTTTGCTCCTTTCTGGGCTTAGCTACGTACATCTGCATACATAGAAATTAGGGTTTCAGTAGTATATAAATAAATCAAACTAATTTAGGGAAAATCGAAATTAAAACTTACTGCATGTGGGGAAATTGTTTCCTTAAACTGCCGATCGAGTTTAAGCTTCAAAAGTAGACAATTTGCTTCCAGTTCTTCCGATTTCTGGGTTTCGATTTTTGGAGTATTTCATCTAGGACTAGGGTTTTCTTGGTTTAGATGATGAAGCTTGAAGGGTTGAAGAGAATAGAGGTAGTTGGCTTATATTTCGTAGATCGTTTATCGTTGGTGGGATGAAGATATAGGTACTGTTGTCGCGAAGGAGAGGGTGAATCGCGACATTTTTAGTGAATGGCGAAGGAGGAGACAGAGCGAGGGAGAGGGAGTAGGAGCGATGGAATTCTGGGGTTATTGTTTGGGTTGGGTAATAACGGGTTAGATATGCAGGTTTGGGTAGGTTTTGGGTTGGGTAATTTAGTTGGGTTTCGGCCCAACTTTTTTTTTTTTTTTTTATTATTAATGTTATTATTATTATTATTATTATTATTATTATTATTATTATTATTATTATTATTATTATTATTATTATTATTGTTGTTGTTGTTGTTATTGGTATTATTATTATTATTAATATTCGTATTAATATTATTATTATTAGTATTATTATTATTAATATTATTATTATTAGTATTTTTATTTATTTATTATTATTATTATTATTATTATTATTATTATTCCTTAATAATAATGATGCGTGGAACATTACTTTCCTGTTTGATAATTTGCAGTGGGATGTGCCACCTAATCATAATTTGTGAAAATGATGGGCCACCTAATGAAGTGGGATGTAGAAGGCAAGAACTGGATATGGACAAACATGAAATCTTATGATTTAGCCTTCATGAAAAGGTTGTTTGAACATACTAAGAATTTTTAAGAAATAATTTCAGTCATGAAAAAAACACACAAAAAGATGAAATTAAAGCATTAGCATAGGGTGTTAGTTGGTGGATTAAATTGATAACATAATTGATTCAGTGTTGTGTTATGCACATTTGAAGCTATTCAGTCATGATTTTTTGTTATTCTTATGTTATAATGTGTGAATTCTTTTTTTTTTTTTATTTCTTAATGATTTTTTTTTTGAGTTGCCTTCAATATATTTGTATTTATAAATTGTTATCTCGATATTTGCATTGACTTTGTAATAATAATATATTTTAAATCATTTTTACACTTTTTCTCTTAGCTTTTTTCCAATTACATATTACGTTAAATAATGTTACAAGTAATGATTTTGTCTATTTCATATAATGAATATGAAAATATTTTTAAATTTTTCATTATTGGAATCAATAAATTGTTGACAATTTCATCGTGGATTTTTCTTAGAAAATGTGGATAGTGTAACTCCTGAGCAGATCAGAACGCGAAGGATCCATCGGTTTGGGCTTCATGCACAGAAATCATGCTTTGTGGGGGTTTTTGAAAATTCTCTTTATACGCCCTTGAGTGTATTAAAAAATTGTAAGTTACACAGTAATTTGTCACATTTTAAATTAAATCTTGTGTTTTTAAATTTTTTAAAATGTATTTTCTGTAATGTAGGCAATCAAATCAATACTACAATATCTTCTAATGTTGAATGCTTGGATACGCATATTGGTAGTACTAGCACTGAAGCAGGTAAATTTTTTTGTTTTTAAATGTTATAATAAATGTTAGGTAAATTTATATTTTGACTTTATTTGTTTGTTGTGTAATCATACAGTCGACATTGTTGATAATTCTAAAATCATATTGAATATTGCTTGTGGTTCAAGGCAAAGGAAAACAAATGTAACTGGTGCAGGTATTTTTTGCGTTTTTTTTCCTATTTTTTCATTATAATATATTGCTTTATTTTATTCTTATATTAGTATATTGAATTAAAATTAGGACAATTAATTGTAAGTAGACAACCTATCCAAAATTAGCGAAAATCTATTGTATGACCATTAATTGGATATAAATTGTTAAATTATTGTATACCTTTGTTAGCTTAAAGTTTTCAAAAAGTTCATTTATCTATATATGTACATTTTTTTGTGAACATTTTTTTTTTTTTTTGTAGGTGTGTATTTAGATAATGGGGATCCGACTTTTAAGTGTTAACATTGTGATGCATTGTTTTGGTATGATGAGAGATTAAAGAGTGTAAAGGTGAATAGTTTGCCTAAATATTCTATATGTTGTGGTAACGGAAAAATTAAGTTGGCACCTATCCTTCCTCCGCCTAAGTTGATATCTGATTTGTTTTTTAGTGGCGATCGTAGAAGTAAAAATTTCTTGCAGAATATACGATCTTACAATAATATGTTTAGTTTTACATCAATGGGTGGTCGAATTGATAAACAAGTAAATTCTGGATCATCTCCACCAATCTTTCGCTTGAACGGTCAGAATTTCCATTTGATGGGGAGTTTATTACCCACTGAAGGCAATTCAGCTAAATTCGCACAGTTATATATTCATGACTCTGCAAATGAAGTTATGGATAGAATTAGTGCTGTCAGGTATGTATACTAATTGTTTTCTATATTTTTATAATTTTTTTTTTATCAATTTCTTAAATTCAATTTACTTTGCAAATTTTATAATTTTGAAGGAATGAAAGTGATGTACAAGACTTACACCCTCAAATTGTTGCTGATATTCAAGCTGTTTTAGATGAGTGCAATGTTTTGGTTAAGTCATTTCGAATGGCGAAAGAAGCAATCCAATCAAATCCAATAGTAGAAGTTAAAATGAAGTTGATTGGGAAGCGTAACACAGATGCCCGTACATATAATTTGCCCACAGTTTCTGAAGTTGCTGCACTCATTGTTGGGGACTTGGATGCGCATCTCGGTGAGCGAGATATATTGGTGGAAACAAAGTCTGGATTGTTGAAGAGGATTAGTGAGCTCAATCCAGCTTATCTTCCATTACAGTATCCACTGTTATTTCCATATGGTGAAGATGGTTACAGGGAGGATATTGGCTTCAACATTGTTCGAGTAGTTGAAAATGGATCTAGACAGCGTATTTCACCTCGCGAGTATCTTGCTTTCCGTATTCATGAGCGTTCATCAGAAGTTTCAACAATTTTATATGCTCGGAGATTATTTCAACAATTTTTGGTTGATGGTTACACGATGGTTGAAGCTGGTCGATTGTTGTATATTCGCACCAATCAGAAATCTTTAAGGTGTGGAGCTTATCAGGGATTGTCTGATGCATTAACACGAGGTGATATTGAGCCCGGTCGTCATGGTAAACGAGTTATTCTTCCGTCTAGCTTTACTGGAGGTGCTAGGTATATGATCCAGAACTATCAAGATGCTTTGGCGATTTGTGGATGGATTGGTTATCCGAATTTATTTATTACATTTACATGTAATCCAAAGTGGCCTGAAATAGAGAGGTATTTGGGAGAGCGACATTTGAGTGCTGTTGATCGGCCTGATATCATATGTCGGTTATTTAAAATGAAATTGGATGCGTTGATCAAGGAGATCCGTTCTGGATTAGTTTTTGGTAATGTAACTGCAGGTACGTATTTTTCTTTTTCTACATGTACATCAGAATCATTCTTATCTTATTTTTAATTTCTGTTTTAATACTTATTTATGTAGTGATTTATACTGTTGAGTTCCAAAAAAGAGGACTTCCGCATGCCCATATATTGGTATTTCTGAGCCAAGAAGATGGTCGAGCTTTATGTCAAAATATTGATACTATAATTTCAGCTGAAATTCCAGACCAGGAAGTAGATAGTGAGTATTATAGGGTTGTTGAGGAGTTTATGATTCATGGTCCTTGTGGTCATCTTAAAAAGAATTCTCCGTGTATGGTTAATGGTCGTTGTTCTAAACATTTTCCAAAGAAGTTTGTAGACTTTTCAAATTTTGATCAAGATGGTTATCCAATTTATAGACGAAGAGAAGATGGAAGGTTTGTTAAGAAAAATGGGATTGAGCTGGATAACAGATTTGTTGTACCACATAACAAATATTTGTTGCTTAAATATAGAGCACATATCAATATTGAGTGGTGTAACCAGTCCCGTTCTATCAAGTACTTATTTAAGTATGTCAACAAGGGGCATGATCGAGTTACAGCTCATTTCTACAAAAGTTCTGATGGTTTAGAGAAAGGCCAAATTGTAGATGAGATATCTATGTTCTATGATTGTCGTTACATATCTGCTTGCGAAGGAACATGGCGTTTATTTGGATTTGACATTCAATTCAGAGTTCCTGCAGTTGAGAGATTAAGTTTCCATTTGCCCAATCAACAATTAGTTGTTTATGGTGATGACGATTGTGTTGATAATATTTTGAGTCGCCCGAGTGTTGGAGAAAGTATGTTTTTAGCTTGGTTTGAAGCTAATAAAAAGTTTCCTAAAGCTAAAGAGTTAACTTACGGTCAGATGCCCAACAAATTTGTTTGGAAAAAGGATGTTAGAGAGTGGCATCTTAGACGTAAGGGGTTTGCCATTGGACGTATGTTTTTTGTCCCTCCAGGTTCTGGTGAAATTTATTATCTAAGGTGTTTGTTGAACTTGGTTCGTGGTGCAACATGTTATGAAGATCTTCGTATTGTTGAGGGGGTGCAGTATAGTTCGTTTCGAGATGCATGTTTTGCTCGTGGTTTATTAGCAGATGACAAGGAATATGTTGATGCGATTAATGAAGCAAGTAAATGGGCATCTGCAACTTCTATGAGGAGACTATTTGTTACTATGCTTACTTCAAACGTTCTTATTCGACCAGAAGTTGTTTGGGATGCAGTATGGATATTCTTAGCTGAAGATGCAGAGTTCAACCAACGGAAAATACTAGATAAACCAGGTTTTTTTTTTTAATCTTTTTTAAGATCCAAAATACATACATTTTATTTACATGATTGTTCTATATTGGATCATCTGATATAAGTAACATTTAAATCTTATTTCCTTTTTTAGGTTTAACCCTCACAGACGAAGAAAAGGCAAACTATGCTTTGGTGGAAATTGAAAAGCTTTTACGTGTATTTGGAAAAAGTATTTCTTGCTTTCCCTCTATGCCTCTGCCAAATATGAGTTCCTCATCTTCTCATGGAAATCAGTTGTTAGATGAAGAATTGTCATATGATTGTGATGCTCTTAAAGTTGAACATGATAATTTGGTAGAGAAATTGACAGATGAACAAAGGCATGTTTATGACGTAGTTCTTACTGATGTTGCGAATGCTGGGGGTGGTTTATTTTTTGTTTATGGGTACGGAGGAACTGGTAAAACATTTGTTTGGAAAACACTATCAGCTGCTTTGCGTTCTGAGGGTCACATCGTCTTAACTGTTGCCTCGAGTGGTATTGCTTCTCTACTTTTGCCAGGTGGTCGAACTGCTCATTCCCGATTTGCTATACCTATTAATATAACTGAAGATTCTACATGTAACATCTCTCAAGGGAGTGACTTGGCTCATCTAATAATAAACTCCAAACTAATTATTTGGGATGAAGCTCCGATGATGCATAAACACTGCTTTGAGGCTTTAGACCGAACCATGAGAGATTTATTACGGTTTGTGAATCCTTTGAGCACAGAGATGACATTTGGAGGAAAAACGGTGGTTCTTGGTGGTGATTTTCGACAAATACTGCCTGTGATTCCTAAGGGAACAAGACAAGATATTGTTGGAGCAAGCATCAATTCGTCATATCTCTGGCAAAATTGTAAGGTTCTAAGATTGACTAAGAATTTGCGACTTCAAAGATTGGGCAATGATGACAGTGCTGAGCATATCAATTCATTTTCGGAGTGGATAGCTGGTATAGGTGATGGTTTGATTGGTGGTCCAAATGATGGGTGTGCAGTAATAAATATTCCGGAACAAAATGTATTGCGGCCACGTGGAGATTCGATATCAGCTATAGTAAATAGTACATTCCCGGAATTTTGCTCAGGTAATTTTGATATGGAATCTCTTAATGGTCGAGCTATTTTGGCTCCAACTTTGGATTTAGTGCATGAAATCAATGATTACATGAGTGGCTTGAATACGACAGCTATTAGAACTTATTTCAGTTCTGATTCTGTTTGTCAATCAGATTCTGGTGTCGATACTTTAGCTGGTTTACATACTACAGAGTTTCTTAACACGTTGAAATGTTCGGGTATTCCAAATCATTGTCTTATGTTGCAAGTTGGATCTCCAGTTATGTTGTTGCGCAATATTGACTACACTCTTGGCTTGTGCAATGGTATGCGATTAGTCATTACTAGATTGGGAGATCATGTTGTTGAAGCGAAAGTGATGTCAGGAAGTAGTATGGGTACACGAGTTTTAATTCCAAGATTGTCATTGACACCGTCTGATCCTAGATTGCCATTTAAGTTCCAAAGGAGGCAATTTCCTTTAATGTTGTCATATGCAATGACAATAAATAAGAGTCAAGGACAAAGTCTTACAAATGTTGGCTTACTTCTGAAAAAACCGGTTTTTGTGCATGGACAATTGTATGTGGCTTTGTCTAGAGTTGACAATCCAAATGGTCTTAAAGTGGTTGTTTTGAGTGAGAATGGAGAGTATTCTTCTTCAACTGTAAATGTTGTATATCACGAAGTTTTTAAAAATTTGTAATTTAGTATATATAATTATTCTAATGTTTTTGATTTTTTTTTCTACTATTGTTTCTAATCTTTTTGTCATGCATATTACAGATTTTTATAATGCATATTTGTATGTATATTTAATTTCAAATGTTATTTATAATTTAGTTTAATTTTTATCCCGTGCATCGCACGGGTGCAATACTAGTTATTCTTATATAGATAATCATATATGGAAACTATTGTATAGATATATAAAATTATTGATTGAATCACACAACAATTTCTCATGAAGATCGAATATATGTCATGAAAGAGTACTCTATGCTAGCTCACATTACCCTTTGTTTCTTTATTCAAGCGGAACCAACAATACCTCATCATCCTGTTGATGATACTGCGATTGGACTGCTCACAACATGAGTTCCATCACTCCATGAGTATGAACCGAAGGCAAAACCACTACTTCCATTTCTAACACCTTTAGTTCTAACTGTCACATTAAAACTTTGCTTTTCCCCTAGTCGACTGAACTTTAGGGTCGTTGGAGAAATAACAACGACATACCCCGGTGGGGGTGTCACCGTGATGACATATGTTGAGTTACTATTTCCAACATTAGTAACTGTTCTTTTAACTGTCATGGATCCTCGGAGGTTGGCTATTGATAATGATGGATAGTTAAGGTTACTTGCCAATGGTTTCTTTTTGGGACACTTGAAAGAAGAATCCATGTTGATTCCTCTGCTGCATAGGAAGAGAAGATAGTCATTGTACGTTGCATTATAGACTAATCCAGGATCTGCTGCTTTTGATGGCAAAATATGTCCTGCACCATATTCAAACGGCGTGGCGAAATATCCCTTTGAATTCACTATTGGTGCCCCCACCACATTATTAGTAGTTGCTAAAAAGAAAAAAAAAATAAAAAACAATAAGCTCAAAATAACCCAAGAAAAACTTTTTTTTTTTGGGTAGTGAAGATAATTACTATAGAACAAATCTTGGCCAGACAGAAAAATCCCATTTGAAATGATTTCAAACTATTAAATATATAGAATGACCACATTTTTTTTGACAACTCTCAACTGTTAATCTATTCAAATGAAAGGGTCAAATCGGTTCTCACTTTTTACTATAAGTTCCCGTCATGATATTAAGCTAATTATGTTGTGGACCACCAATAAATGTTGATTTTTAATGCATTGAAAATTTATTTTAAGTAATATATATACCTGTGGTCATTAGGGCTGATCTTATGGCTGCACTGCTCCAATCAGGATGAATGGCCTTAATAAGGGCAGCTACAGCAGAAACGTGTGGGCAAGACATTGAAGTTCCGGATATTATGTTGTACTTTACCACTCGACGATCAAATGATAATTCTGTCGGAGATGACACCTCACTCCATGCTGCCAATATGTTAAGTCCAGGAGCAGTAATGTCCGGCTGCAACCAAAACAAATTATTCCGGCAAAAATAGTATGGCCATGATTGTGGAAATTTTTTTGAACGACAACTATGGTTAAGTTTATATATTTTTAAAGTTTTAGATTTTTACTAACCCGGACACTAAACGGATCAACTTAGCTCGCATAAAACATAAGAGTAAAATGGTAAAGAGTGATAAATATTACAAGAATGCTGTAGAAATTGAACATGATTTGTAATGCTAAGACAATGTAAATGGGTCCAACAAACTTCCTAAGTTAATCGTGGTTGGCCATGATACTAAGGGTGTGTTTGGTTGGTGGGTTTTGCCCATAGGAATGTGTATGGAAGTGATTGTTCTTGTTTAATTGGTTGGTAGGTTTTTAGAACACTACTATGGTCCATGGATTTCGAATACGTACTCCATTAATTGAAAAACTCATACCCAAATAAAATAAAATAAGGGTTTTATTTCCTTATTTATTCTCAAGCACTACTATTAGTAACCATTCTCATTCCACCCTACTACCAAACATGTTAAATACTTTCACCAAAACCTATTACCATTACCAAGTATTTGATACCCATTCCGATTCCTATGTGCGAACCAAACACACCTTAAGTCTTGTCCGAGCTGTGGGTCGTGCAACTAAGTCAAGACCCAACATTCCAGGCCTGGACACAGGCCCGAGGAATGGATGGCTAGCAGCCTGGGGTCGGCTCCAAAAGCCAGCCCTAAGAGCCTTTGCTCTCTATTCAGGTCCCGAATTCTTCTTGGGCTGCACCGGTTATCTTTTCGCATCTCGGGATATGGGCTCTCATCAGACCCTGTGTCCCAATTCTTGAGTCATCATTTCTAATATCTAACTACATCATTAACCATCCTTGATATAATGAGTGAATCCAACTAGCTTATTAGATCGTTTCATGAATCTTTATATGTCAGACACCATAGAAATGTGTAAGACGAAACGATATGCATGTGTTACATATATACATACCTTGAGAATGTTTGGTTCAATGATGCTTGGACCTACGGAGGTGAAAGGAGCCATGACAGGGGCGGGCTTGGTTCCGAGAACCGTCTCTCCAGGAAGAAGAGTTGCCGTGGGATTGCTATCGCCATTTATGTATTTGAGAATTGAAATTAACTCGTACCTAAAAACAACAGTGGTAGGATGCAGAAAAGCATCAACTGCTATTTCATTATACGGCTTGCCTACAATGGTAGCAGCGCCTCCAGCTCTTTGCACTTCCACCGATGCTGATATGCCATTACTCTTCAGGCAAACCACAATTTTTCCCCTTACAAGCCTTCTTGAAAGGGTACCATTATTACACAGTCTGCACATATATATATGCATGCATGCAACATTATTTCACTAAATAATCCTCCACTTTCCACATATAAATACTGATTCAAATGCGACAGTGCTTCCCGTGCGGCTGGTGTAGACTCATCATTAGGTATGCGAAAATGCACCACGTTTGAAAATGCACCAAATTCACTACTGGAAATTATGAAATTTCCAACCACCTGAAAGTGATCTTAAATGAAGTCGATCGAAAGCCTTATCTGACCATTTTTGGTATCCGAAAAAACCTTTTTTGCTATTTCCGACCACTTTTTGCTTTTAACTTGATTTAAGATCACTTTCAGATGGACAGAAATTCAATAATTTTCAGTAGTGCTCGCACCACACCTAATGGTGCATTTCTGAACACTGTGGTGCATTTACATGTATCAAATGGTGAATGACTGCACAGCTGTACAGGAAGCACTATCCGCACGGAACCTGACTCTCAACATATATCATTTCACATTTTTTACAAGAATATGTTTTCACTTCAACCTATCCGGTTGTGTACATATATAAGTAATAAACACAGAAATTTGCATGCATGCATTTTACCCTGTTGTAATGTTATTGGTAGTTCCCGGAATTTCTACATTGCCAGCGTAGACTAGTGGAAGCAATTTTCCTCTCCTAATGGGAGTGATTGTTTGTCCCTGTTAGTCAATAAATGAAACATATATACTCTATGTAAATAATTAGTCAAATGTATGTCACACATATAACTAAATAAATGATAAATTAGAAAAACAAAAAACAAAAAAAAAACTTAGTAGTATAACAATAAAAAAGATAAAAGACAATAAAAATTATTAATACATTAAGAGCAAAGAAATATGAAATTAGAAAAGAATTTAGAGCAAATACCAATTTTAATCCCACAAATATTAGCAAAATGACAGCTTTAATAATCTACATATTTAATTTATACCAATTTTCATACACAATTATCACTTTAGTACCAATTTTCATCAATCTATTGTTTTAGTGCCAAAAGAGTACAGATTTTTACTGATTTTAACGGAAACTAGTATAAACCAACTGATTTTTGTTGGAAACCAGTAGAAAGTAGACTGGTCTCCATCTAGTGGTTTCACCATTTGACTTTGTAGCGCGCATGGACAGTTCAGTTAGTCATGGGCAGTGTTTGAACAACCTCTCAAAATGAGGGTGGCTCTTCTATGGTTTAGCTGCTCTATCGGGTTCATGGGGTTGAGGATTCAACCTTTTTTTGGAAGAATCATTTGACTTTGTAGTAGTTAGTTAATAAGATGACAATAGAGACAAAAGTGTAAGTATAAGATATCAAAACTAATACTCCCTACTAATTAATACCTCAATAATCATGCCGTTTCCTAGCTTTAAAGGTGACGAAAACACTCGATCGCTACTGCTTGCCCCCACCGTGATGATCCAAGGCGCCACATTACCCACCGTCGACGGCGTCGGTCCGGCATTTCCGGCGCTGCACGCCACCACAATGTTGCGCTTCACCGCGTGCAACGCTCCGATGGCTATACCACTTCGCGTGAAATACTGCCCTCCGGCTACGGCGCCCAGGGAGACGCTGATAACATCGACGCCGTCGGAGATCGCGTGGTCGAACGCCGCAAGAATGTCGGCGTCCAGGCACGTCCGTCTGCTTTGGTCGCTGGGAATTGGCCAGCACACCTTATAGATTGCGAGGCGCACGAGCGGCGCGCCGCCGGAGGCCGTCCCGTTGCCGAAACCACCGAGGGCGGCGGCGTTACGGACTCTCCGGCCGCCCACGGTTGAAGCCGTGTGAGTTCCGTGGCCGTCGGCGTCTCTCGCCGATCGGAAGTCTGATGTCCGGTTGAGACGCCCGAAGGTGGCTTCGTAGCTCTTTAGATAGTATCTTGCTCCAATTAGTTTCCTATTATTTTATTAGTAAAATTACATTTTCGTCCTCTAATTATACTCGTGGTACATACTTAGGTCCTGAGTCATATGCGTAACCATTGCTTAAGTTATGTATAGCGTAGCGATTTTAGTCCTTTTAAACCAAATCAGTCACTTTATTAAGTGATAAATTGGTAATAAAAATAGTTTCCGAAGAACTAAAATCGTCACCTCACGCATTACTTAAAAAGTTATGTACAGAGTGGTGATTTTAATCCTTTTAAACCAAATCAGTCACTTTATTAAGTAATAAATCTGTAGTAGAAATAGTCCCGGGGAACTAAAATCGTCACCTCATGCATAACTTAAAAGTTAAAGATGATCACACGTAACTCAGGAACTATAAGTTTGTATCACGGGTATAACGGAAGGACAAAAATATAATTTTATTAAAGTTTTAAATAACATTTGTTAGGTGGAGAATTGAGGGTAAGAAAGTGTTAATTAATACAAAAAATGAAAATAATAATTAAATTACCTATTGCAATGAGAAGAGTTAAAGGCAGAACCTTTTTGGCATATTCCCTTCCATGAACGAGGAACTGGTTCCATACCTTTGTCACTGAAACTTGGAGACTCTGGCCATACACCTAAAATCAACAATATAATATAACATAAATTAATAGAAGAAATTAAATTAACTAATTATATTGGATGATGATAGGAATGAAAAGCAAAGAGACTTAATAATTGGGATGATAGAGATATTATATTATTACTCCACCACAAACTAATTAGATAATAATTAAGATTAATTAAAGCCAGCACAAGCTCAACTCAGTGATTTAGTATTCAGTATTTGGGAGAAGAAACGAAAGTTTTAAACAGGTAGCGACAGCCCACACAACCTTATCTACTAAGCCACTTAATTACTGTGATTTACCTAATTTCACATGATCTGTAGCCCGTAGGGATACTTAGGGTTGAGAATTCAATATTTCGGAAGAAGATGATAATTAAGAATCACTTACCAGTGTCCATCATACCAACAATTACACCCTTTCCACCTTTTGCTTTACTCAACAATTCCTCTCGACCAGTTGGATTACCATTTACAGCTTCAAGTAAGTTGACAAAATCCCAAGATCTAGTAGTATGAGGCTCTATTCTTCTGGGATCACTATGAAATACTGAAATAACACCTTCCATTTCTGCACGTTAAACACCAAATTTGATATGATAAACCAACAACTAAAACTATAGATTTTGAATCACTCACCTCGTACATAAATATATAAAATAGTAAATAATGCAGTGTACCACTGTTCCATTATCGGTTTAAATTTTTAGTTGAAACAGTTCCCAGACTACGTACCCGATATCTTGTTGGCTTGGTCTGGGGTAAGTAAAGCGGAGAAGCCATTGATGACGTTCTTGTAACTGTGAACTAGAGATGCTCTAGCTTCTTCTCTGGAACCACCCTTTACCGAGAGGATAAATGAGCAATGGAAATCTTCAATTTCTTGGAAAGATTTCCCCCCACTGTGCTCCCCAAGATATACCACATAAACCTGCATATATATAACAACAACAAAAAACCAATTAAAATACCAAATAATACAACTCCATTCATTCATTCATTCAGATCAGAGAGCTGAGAATTGAATTGAAATGTCCATTATATTTACTATGGGGTGTTTGGTAAATAGATGTTAGCTGATAGCTGTTAGCTGATTGAGTTAGTGGGTTTAACTAGTTGATAACATTAACTGATTGTAGAAAAGTATTTGGTAAATTAGCTGATAGCTGATTACACGCAAAATGACTTTATCAAAAAGTTAATCAAAAAGCTGCTGTCTTTGAATAGTTTTTGTATTTTAGCATTTTAGAGCAATAAGTTGTTACAAAAAAACTAATTAATCAAACAATCATATTGATTGTTTACAAATAGAGCCTAAGCATGCATGCATGAAAAAACAGAAGACAGATAAAAGATGATGAGAAATTAACCTTTCTCTGATGATCATCTGCAGCGAGGACATTAAGGATGACAAGAAACAAAACAATAATGGAACAATGAATCCTCATTTTCTTGTCTGTTGAATTGAAATGATGAGTCTTGGTACGTACCCTCTGCTATTTATATGTATACGCATGCAAAGATGAAAGGATGGATAATAATAAAATAGTCTATATGTTATATGTATATTACAACATGCGATTATTTAGAAGCTATTTCATAAATGCATGCATGTACGTCCAATCTATAATTGATGACAAAGAAACTTCCATGTTTATATTACCCCGATTTACATCCTCCCAAATGCTTTATAGGATCGGACCGTAGAAGGTATTCCATTTTACTTGAAGTTCACTACCCAATATATAAGTATTTATTAAATAAAAAGAAATTCCTGGAATAGTTTCTAACTAGGGTTTTACATAAAAACCTGAAATTTTTAATTTTTAATAATAATAATAATAATACCATTTTCTACTGTAGGAGGTTCAATGTTTGGGTGACGGGGTACAAATCGCACAAGGAAGACCAATTGATATGATGTTGACAAGAATCAAACTTATAATGATCTTCAAAATATGATAATCATATTCCACTCATTCAGCGCCCTTTTCGAGACAAACGTAGAAATTGTTTATGCCACCTTTTAAAAAATTGTTAAAGTTTTTATGAAAACTACCATAGAGGCCATGAATAAAAAAAAAAAAAATCAAATAGAATTTATGGTGATTTTTTGGAAAAGTGTAGTAATACTTTACAAAGTAAAATCTTATTTCTGTAGTATTGTTTGAGTCTTATAATAAGGCAATAGGTATTGAAAAACCTTCCTGATAGTTTGAGAGACTTGCCCCGGGTCTTTTAGGATGCACCCAACAACAAAAAATTACAAAAAAAAAAAAAAAATTAGTTTACCAATAATAACTTAACCTAATAATAAAATGATTACTAGAATACGTCAATTCTTGCCACCTGACTTTCTGGGTTGACAATGATTTCTAACCATTGCTGACATTAAAAAATAAAATAAAATAAAAATAACACAACTTGCCCATAATATAATTTGACTACTTGTATACTCTGCAGTTAGATATTTGGTCATTGAATTTTAAGCTTAATTTAATAATTATTGTGACAACAAATGGTTTAGTATCAAATCATTATCTTTGAGTTGTTTGGGGTGAAATAATTTTTTTTTTTTTTTTTTTGTGTGTTTTGAAACAGGGTAAAGCAAAATCTTAAAATATAACGCTATTAATTTTTTACTTTATATTCGTGTACAAAGTTTAAGCACCTCTAGTCTAATTGAATAGATGAAACGAAGTTCAATTTTTTTTCTTAACAAGAGCAACTGACTTTGAAAGAATTCTCTTATATGAAGATAACAATTCAACATTAACAAATAGGCAAATTTTTCTGTCCGTGACACAGGTCAAGTCAATAGAATTTGAGTCTTATGGTATATGAGTTTAATAATATTATTTCGAGTTAATTCCACCAGAGATCCTTTATCTTTTGTTGCAATTCTAAATTTAGTCTCAGACTACCATTTTTGTCATTCAACATCTCAGACTATTATATTTGTCTTTTAATAATAACTATATTTTTCAACCGGTTTTTTAGTAACGTCCTAAACCTATTAAGCCGGTTGAAACCGAAAAATAACAAATGAAAAATATGAATAGACAAAAATGTCCTTACTAAAAATAGGAAAAGTCATGAAAATGATTACAAGTGTCCAAAAATAATAGCCTTGGATGTTAAATGACAAAAATGATAGTCTGTGACTAATTAATTTAGAATTGCTACCAAAGACAATGGACCTCTGGTGGAATTAACTCTATTATTTCCTACAAAATGTCTATTATAATTTTGCTATAAAGTATTATATTGATGCTATAAAGTATATATTATATATAAGATTTAAAGTATTGATTATGTCTACAATTTTACTATGTAATGACACTTCAATTCCTGCAAATTGCCTATTATAGTTTTTATAAAGTATATATATATATATATGCTACAAAGTATTATATATAAGGCTTAAAGAGTTGATAATATATACAATTTTGTTATGTTATTACTTTATGTGTTATATTTTAATGTAGTTTCTAAATATATAAATTTTATATACTAATAATACACTTAAAAATAACTTTAATCAATCATCGTTAAATAAATCAAACACAAAAAAGAAAAATATTACATGTACTCCCACTTTTTACTCTCAGTTTTTACTCCTCTCACAAATCTTTGTAGTCACTTTTTTTGGGACTCACATGATGAAAATATCCTATCATTGTTTGCCATATCATGGAGTAATAGTGAAGATGTAGAATTTGAGAGTACATGTAGTAGAACTCTAAAAATGGTTTGATTACTTTATTTCATGCAAAAATGTGTATTACATTATGCATGCTACACAATTTTAAAAAAATACTGATTTTTTTTTCAATTATTATAAAATCATAGGATTTTATAAACAGATTTAATGAGTTGAAATTGGAGATTTCTTTTGGTGATGTTTGAAATAGTTGCATGCTAATGTAGACATGAAAACAGCTCCTGCATATATATCCTAACTTCCTTAGACCATTTTTATTTTTAATTTTTTAAATTCACAGTTAGTTAAAAGGTTTGCTTAAATGATTTTTTTTTTTTTTTTTGAATAAGACTGCTGAAATTTTCCTTAACTACAATTGCTGGGAGCTCGTACTCGTGACTAATTAAATAAAGACCAATAACGAATCAAATGGAAAAAAGTTAATTTTTTTTTTTTATCTGAGTTTGTAAACAAAGTAATCAGGGTTAAAATAGAATTTTCCTGTAGAATAATTTAATTTTAAATTAATCAAAACCGCCCAACGTGACTCATAAAATTTTTTATATACTCCGTATTATTAAGATGTATATATAATTTCAATTTTGTCAGTTTTCATTTCTCTAGTAATTTATTTCTTGGTCTGTATTTTTATATTAGAAAAATGTATAAAAAATACTTTTTTTTTTCATTTCTTCAAAAAAAAATATATATATTTACGGAAAATTCAACAACCCCTATCCAAATGATTTGCTTTGCACGTCGATTCGGGTCTGTCCACCTTGGGCCGATCGCAAGGCCAGTTGCCTGCCTCCCTTGTCTCGAGTCGAGTCATCTTATCTTTCAAATCAGGTCCGCTTCGTACTCATTTGTTTGAGCCTAATATATTTATCAAAATATTGATCCAGCTTAATAGAATTTGCTTAAAATAAAAATTTCTCTAATTAATAAAACCACAATAAATTTTCATTCCAAAATTTATTTGTTTTGGCCATGTCATCAGTGCATGCTTTCTTTGTTTAGGCGGCATAACAAACTAAAAATTATATATATTTAGGATTAGATCGAATGGTGAATGGTCGATATTTGAAGTAAACTTAATAACGGCTTCCATGACCACTTTCAAATATATAATAACTAACTAGTTTTTATATTGATGATATGCGAAAATAAGTAACTAACATTGATACTTAATATTAAGTTTATGATTTTATTATAATAGTTTTTAAAAATAATAAATAATTCAAGAATTGTAAAAATTATATATATATTTTTTCTTAAAATGATTTTTTCTTACTTTTTAAATTGTTTTATAATGAATAATTTTTTTTTTCTTCAAGCATTATTACCATTATAGACATCGAATTCTAAATTAATTAAATACATATGTATTGTTTTTTGTTGTAGCTAATTTATTTAATAATATAATTTAATAAGAGTAATAAAGTGGGGTAGTTGCTTTTCATCCACAACAATGAAGACATTGATTTTTTTTTTTTTCCATTCATTGTTGAGACAAACTCTTTTGTTGAGAGTTTGTCAATTGTTGCTATTGTTGTCAATAGAGGAGGATAACAAATCAATGTTGCAAAAATCGCGCCTAGGCGATTTCGGCCTCCTAGGCAGTCAACATTGTAATAAATAATTTGAAATATATGATTACAATAGATATTGTTATAATAATATAGTAAAAATTAACTTACAAATTTCTTCAAAAGTTTTCATTCATTGATGAAATTCTAAGAAGAATGTATAACTTTGTTCAATTGGAGCCGATGAGATGTCAACATTGTCAATTATTTAAAAAATAATCTTACCATTTTAGAGTCCAGTGTATTGTATTTCTACTCAACAACTTTATAGTTAGATTGTACAGGTCTAACAATGATGTAAGAACAATTTTATCTGATAAAAAAATAATAATACAATATTTGTAAAGTAATATACAATTGTACCATTAAAGAATTACATACAAAAAAATATTAATACCATAATGGCACAAGTCATTCCAATAATGCAAAAACATAATTGAAACATTAAATCTTGTTTTAAATAATCAAAAGAAGATTAATTAAACGAGAAAAAAAAACCTTAAACTTAAATTTGTTTTTTGAAATACAAAGCATAATAAGGTTCACCCATCTTACAATAACCAAATTGAATCATAATAGCACGGAGACAAGGCCATTCCACCCTATCATGAACTTGAGGGGGAATTGGGTGGTCGACTTCACAAAGGACTAAAGGAGTTAGGCTTTACAAACAGACAGATTTTCGATAAGAGTTATAACTTATAAGGCCTTTTAAAAGGCTTTAGACTTAAAAAAGATAGGGGTCTTATTATTTATTTTGTGTGACAAGGAAAACCTTAGCTTTTGGGAATCAAGAGAATATTGATATGTCCCTAAGAAGATAAGAAGGTCAAAGAAAATATTGGTATATGCCATAATAAGCAAGCTGGAAATGTATGTTTACCAAATGAATAGACGAATAGTGATGAACAGAGCCACCATAGAACTTGAAAACAGAGAGAGCAGATCATGGTTTTCATAATTCAAAGGATTCAAAGTTTGCATTACAGTTTAAAGTAGACTCTAACACAAGACAACAAATATTTGTGCAAAACTCATACTTCAAAATCAAGGATATGATTTAGAGTGTACGGCATTGTAAAACCAGACCAAACGCACATCACAATGTGCACAACAGTAAACGCAGCCACCAGAAGACATCACTGTTGGCGGACTTCAACTTTCTTTTTCTGCCAGAGCCTATCAAGACCACTATCTGCATCGCCCTGCAAGACATAATTAAGTGTGCGTTTCATTAGGCTAGAATTGTTAGTTTAGCGTTGTACTAGACACCATATCTTACTGCACAATATAATATATCTCATCCACTAAGCAATTTTACAAGGGTAGAGAATTATAGAACCAAACTAATATAAATTATAGCACTAGAGTTCCAATAAACACCCAACCATTAATTTGACAACCAAACTTGAAGAAAAAAATTAATGTAACACTCAATTTATAAAATTACAAAAGAATAAGAAAAATTAACATCAACTTGCCTGTGCACGAATAAATCCACACAAAGCAAAGGTGGTGTACTTTCCATCATATACACCATTCTCATTCAAATGACCAACATTAATCTGGACAGATGCATGATCCTTAGAAGTGATCAGCCTATTTGTGGCCGAGCTGCATCAACACAAAATATTGTTAACTCGTGCACATAACATAATCAGCAACAACATATCCTCCCACCCCCCCCCCCCCCCAACATTTTCTTATCTTTCCATATGTTTGATATCATGATATGTCAGTCAAAACAGAACATCTCAATCCGATCATAAAGAGGTCCTAGAGATAAATACCACTTCCTCGGAATGTACAGATCCATATTTTGTCCCTCGTCGTTCTGCATCTTAGCAAAGTGATTTGATACTAGCAAAAATGTACAATGTTAAAGCACCTGAGTACAGCAACAAACAGTTACTGTTAGTAGAAGAGCAAACAAGTATTCCCCTTCTAACTAAGGAGTTGGAATTCAGTTACAGATAATTTACTTTGATATAAATACAAATCTGATGCACTAATACAACAGATTCCACATTTTCCTCAATTTTCATGGTTATTGCTATATTTCCTACCCAATATACATAATCAAAGTGCAAATTCCTGCAAAAGCAAAAGCTTTTAAGTTCTTGAACTGCACAATCCAAAACTTAAGCTTTTTATTACACATCTTTTCTAAGAACCTACTTTTAACATAACCAATTTACTAATTTCAAGTTAACCACTAACAGTAAATTGTCCTTTTCACCAAAGCGAACTAATCACAAAAACCTATGCATTCAGAAAATAGAAAACCTCTAACTAGCTTATTGAGCATTGTTTAGTATGGCTGCATCTTTCACAATCACAATTGGGGAAATTCAACAAAATAATCAAAGGAGAAAATTCCAAAACATGCTCAAAACGAAATATTTTAGTTAATTCAGTGATTAACCGGTAAGTAATGAGCGAATATAAATCAGATTGTTATGCCTTGAATCAAAACCGCAAATGAAAAGCACATACAACACAACTAGTAAATCGCCATTTGATAAAAATTGACTGCGCAATTATATACTTGAAGAAATAAAGAACAACAATCACAAAGGAGAATATATGTAAAATATAGAGAGAGAAAGTACCAAAAATGGGAGCGAGAAGATGGCGAAGCTGCGACCGAGAAGAAAGAGCAGAGGCGTTAGCCGTTAGGTTGGCTTATATTCGTCGCACAACCAAAACCCTAGGGGCTGAATCAGAAGGTTTATGGACTAAAATGACCCCGAATCTTTTTTGACTTGGGCGAGACATTCTCAAATTTTATTTTTTTATTTTTAATTTTAATTTTTACTTTAAAAAACGTTTGATTTGTAATTTAAAATATTTAAAAATCTAAATACAGTAAAGTAAATCTTTATATATATAACAAATGGTGAAATAGCCAATAGGCCTTTAATCTTATAAAAGAAGTAAGGAAAAAGTGTCAAATTAGCCCCCTAAGTCAAGCGGATACTGCAATTGAGTCCCCTAAGTAAAAAAAAACTCAATTTCAATCCCCTAAACTTGTAAAAAAGTTCAATTAGGTCCAAAGTTACCTGTTTAGCAGGTTAGTGTCTTCTAATGGTGACATGTGTCTCTTTTTAATTATTATTATTATTATTATTATTATTATTATTTTTTAACTCTTCATACCACCACCGCGGTAAAGTGGCTGTACTCATTCAAGGACAGCCATGGCTATCCGGCGCCAACCACGGCTGTCAAAAATGATGGCCGTGGCTACCCGGCAGCCATAGCTGTCCTAAAAGACGGCCATGGCTATCTGAGATAGCCATGGCCGTGTAAAAAAAATTCAAAATTTTTGAATTTTTTTTGACAACGACGCTGTCAAAAATGATGGCCATGGCTGTCTGAGACAGCCATGGCCATCTAAAAAAAATTCAAAAAAATTGATTTTTTTTTTTACAGCCATGGCTGTCTCATTAGACAACCATTTTTGTCTTCATCCATATCAATATTTATTCAAGATTCACGGCACGGGGATAAATTTCACTGATAATAGAGAAGAGAAGGAGGAGCTGTCACCTTCTAATGCTTAGCTCCGGCGGGAGAGCGGTGAGGAGAAGCTTCAGCTCCGGCGCACAGTTCGAGACCACTCCAACCAACATCACTGTCGGACAGAACCGCCACCTTTCTCCTTTCTCCTTAATGCTCATTTCTTGACGGACTGATAGATATTTTGATTTTTTTATTTTTTTTTTACATAGCGATGGGTGCCATGGCAGTAAAAAAAAAAATTCAAAAGTTTTAAATTTTTTTTTAGATGGCCATGGCTGTCTCAGACAGCCATGGCCGTATTTTAGGACAGCCATGGCTGCCGGATAGCCAGGGCTGTCGCCACAGCCATGGCTCTCCTTGAATGAGTACAGCCACCGGTGGCTGTATGAAGAATTTCTTTTTTGTTTTTTAAATTAAAAATCTAATAATAATAATAATAATAATAATAATAATAATAATAATAATAATAATAATAATAATAATAATAATAATAATAATAATAAAAAATTAAAAAGAGACACATGTCACCATTTAAAGACACTAACCTGCCAAACAGGTAACTTTGGACCTAATTGAGCTTTTTTATAGGTTTAGGGGATTTAAATGGAGCTTTTTTCACTTAGGGGACTCAATTGCACTATCCGCTTGACTTAGGGGGCCAATTTGACACTTTTTCAACCTCCAATAAGCGTGATGCTGATGTGTCTTTACCATTAATAATCTGACAAGCTACATATACAAAGTAAAATCCTTTATATAATAAAGCTATATGGTTTGAGAAATAATTAATGTTACAATTAATGCCACAACATCCTTTATTATAAAAAAAAAAAAAAAAAAAAAAAACACAACATTTAAAAAATAAAATAGCTATATATTATATAATCATATAAAAAATATACTTTTGAAAATTAAAATAGCTATATATATTATATAATCATATAAAAAATGTGTTCAATTAGAGTTTAAATTTACACATGCAAAATTTGAAATTTACTTTCCAAATGTAATTATCTTAGTTATTATTCGTATTGTGAAAATTATAATATAGATGAAATACAATTAAGAATAAATCAATGTAATTATGTAAATTTTCTCTATAAGTTTATTTGAATATGCACATAATTATAGACTATATTAACCATACAAAATTATAATTTTAATTTTAATTGTAATTTTGTATTCTATAAAAATAATAAATACTTGACCAATGAAAGCTCAAAAATATTATTATATTAAATAATTTAAAATATTTTAGTTTTTTATTTTTTATTTATATTTATAATAGCATAATTTTTTTCCGTGCATCGCGCGGGTGAATTACTTAGTAAATAAATAAAACACACAAAAAAATACATTTATTCAAAGTATTAAAAAATCAAAATAGAAGTGTAGTAGCAGTATATAAAAGTAGGGGTTAATGTAAAAGGATGTTGTGTTTCAGTCTCTATAATAATCATGTAGTACCTGTCAATTTAATTTGTTTCTTTCAAGTTTTAGATTGGGAGTTCACACTTAACTATTTCAGTATTTCTCAACCTTCATGTCAAATAATATAAATATATAATAGCACTTGCTATGTTTTTTTTTTTTTTTTTTGACAATCAATACTAGCTGCTTTTGAATCCTTTTTCATAATATTATCAATGTATTTCTATAGTTTTATCTTCTTCAAAATGCCTTGCATATAAAACTGCCATGGAAGCATATAAAAGTATCATTACTCTCACATTTGTTTGGTAGATTAGGTTGATTCTTTATAATGATGTTCACAGAGGACTTATTAAAAGAAATGTTACATATGGTGTATATATGCACAAATCATTGGACTGCAGGCATAGAAGTAGGGGTGTTAGCGAACAGAGCTTTCGACAAATTACTCGTGTTCGTGGTCGGTAAGCGTTCATTTATGTTCGTTTGTTAAGGTAAACGAACATTAACAAACAAAATTTAGAGCTCGGTTAATAAACGAACAGAGCTTGAACAGTTGTCAGCTCGTTTGCTAAGAGATCGTGAACAAACTCGTTTGTGTTCGTTTACTAATGTTCGTGAACAAGCTCGCTTTATGTTCGTTTAATAATGTTCGTGAACAAGCTCGTTTGTGTTCGTATAATAATGTTCGCGAACATGTTTACAAACATATATTATATTATATTATATTAGTTTTGTAGTTGTGTTGTTTGTTTGATTATTGTTCGTGAACGTATATTATTTATTGTTCACGTGATCATGAACATGTGCATGTGTTTGTTTATTAAGTATTCATGAACGTAAATGAATATGTTCGTGAACGTACTTGTTAATGAACATGTTTGTGAACATGTTTGTTAACGTTAACGAACACGTTTGCGAACGTGTTCACGAACGTTAACAAACACGTTCGCGAACATGTTTGTTAACGTTAACGAACACGTTCGTGAACATGTTCGCGAACGTTAACAAACACTAATGGACGCTTAACAAACGAACACGAACAGGATTTTCAAAAACCTTAACAAACGAACACGAACACGAACACTCCAAATTACTTAACAAACGAACACGAACAACCTCCGTTCGTTTATATTCGGTTCGTTAACAGCCCTACATAGAAGGGGGAACCTTGTTTCTTTCACGTGTAGTGACTTTGTTGCAAATCTTACAAGGTGTTTGGTTGGAGAGGGGAAATTATGTGAGAAAGAAATTGCAATTTCATGGGAGATAAATTACTAGGAATAAAATAGGAATTTAAATTCATTTGGTTTACAGGAATAAAATTACTGGGAATTTCAATTCCAATGTTTGGTATACATGGAAATTTGAAGAGAATAAGTAGTATAAAGTCCAAAATGTCCATTATTATTGTCAGACATTAATTTTAGGTTAAAGAAGTAATGGGTAATTTTGACTCATCACAATCTTTTTTTTTTTTTTAAATCCCAGGAATTAAAATACCAGGGAATATAGGATTTTAATTCCATGAAAATGGGGGAATTGCAATTCATTTCAATCGAACAAGGGAATTTTGTGGCCTTTGGAATTAGGTGGGAAGGGAATTAAAATTCCACTCAACCAAACGCCTTGTTAAAGTTGAAGGTTGAGACCAAGTGGCTTGTGGTCCACTGGTATCGGATTGCTCCCCTATGTGGGAGGTCTAGGTTTCGAGCCTCAGTATAGGCGTAGATTGTATGGGTATCCCCCTTCCTTTGTAAAAAAAAAAAAAAAAAAAAAAAAAGTTGAAGGTTGAGAGAAACCATCTTATATGGGGTGATAGAGGGAAACCCATAACCACTATCCAGCCTAAGTTTCTCATAGCTGACCAATTTAATTAAACCAAGAAAATCGAGATTTGAACTCGTAGTTTATATCCTTCATCCTTCACCATCCTGGGGTTACCTCCAGAGAAACCAGCGCCCGTGCGGCATCCCGCGGCCCTTCATACCCAGCGAATCAGTCATTGCCCACATACAAGCCAATCTGGTTTCGCCCTGCAACAACAGCTCCCAACTAGTTGTGCCCTTCGATCGCATCCGTCCCCTTCATAGTCAAGTCCAAGACTAACGACAGGCTCCCCAAACTTAATCGGATCGGCGTGCCTAACTCCCAGCTCCCAACTAGTTGTGCCCTTCGATCGCATCCGTCCCTTCATAGTCAAGTCCAAGACTAACGACAGGCTCCCCAAACTTAATCGGATCGGCGTGCCTAACTCGACCAGACCTTAGCGTCTAAAGCAGAACAACCCTTAACGCTATTGACGCCCCCTTCACCGCATGGCATTGCTAACCAATTGGCCGTTCCTCATTCTTTTGGGTCTTCGCACGATCACGGAAAAGCAGTGCGTGACACTCCTCCCATTCTCCAAACTGCTAATGACATATATGTGTGTGCATGTTTGTATTTATATATCTATATGTAACCTTATTCCCTTTCAGGGGATGAAATTTGGTTGGCCCAAGTACGGAAGGAACCTGCATATACAATTTCACCCTTAAAGTCTTAAACATAAAACAAAGCCAAGTGTTCTATGAACTCTTACTATGAAAGGCACAACCAAAAATATCTTACCACTCTTAACATTCCAAATCCATATCAATCTAGAAAGAACAGGACTGACACTCAGGTGGATGAGTATGCATAGTCACATACAAGTTTAGCCAGTACACTAATGAGAAACACCTTTCCATATTTCCACTCCCAAGTTTTACTCTCTACTTTTACT